CGTTGCATTATCGGACCAAATGCAGGCAGGCCGACCACGAGTCATGATGAACCGCTTCAGGGCAGCTCAAAATGTAGATGTGGACAAATCCTGTACCAATTCCATGTGAACCGCCTTGGTCGTAAAACATATGAAAATGCAAACGTAACATTTTTGTGGAGGCTTGTTACGACCATCAGGTTTGTAAAAGAATGGGCCACAGTAATCCACTCCTGTGATCGCAAAGGCATAGGATGGGAAGTTAGGACCTTTGGAAGGTCTGCAATTATGTGCTCCAGGAGGCGAGGCTTATCACGAAAACATCTGATGCATTTCCTTATGACATTTGCGACAGTTTTGCGGCCTCCCACGGGCCAATACTGAGTCCGTATCATGGCTAGCAACGATCGAGGGCCAGCATGCAGATTCCTCTCATGAAAGTGAGCTATCAATGAGCGTGTAATTGGATGTGTCTTCGGCAGTATGATGGGGTGGCGAGTCTCGAAATTAAGTGATGAGTTCTCCAAACGGCCACCGACGCGAAGAAGTCCAGACTTGTCCAAGAACGGCGAAAGCGAAGCAAGGTTGCTAGATGGCTTTACCGGCTGCCTTGATTGAACTGCCTTAAAATCATTCCACAAATGCGATCTCTGGGCGACTCTAAGCAACAGCTGAGTACCATTTCGAATGTCAAGGGTCGACAGACCAGCCGATTTTACTCGATGTACAAATTTGTATATATATGCGTAGATCCGCTGCATTGTATGAAACGAGTTCACGTACTTGCATCCATCCGTGATGTCGATGCGTGTCGTCGCAGCTAGTACAGAAGATTTGCGAAGTTCGAGGGTTGGCTTATTCGGCACGCAGGATTCTGGCCACGAATCTTTTGGCAAGCTCAGAAATTCTGGCCCATGAAACCAAAGCTTAGACGCGATGAGCTCGCTAGGTAGCGCTCCTCTAGAGAGTATATCGGCAGGATTCAGCGACGTCGGAACTTAGCGCCAGCTCATGCCCTCTGTGTGCTGCTGAATGGACGCCACGCGGTTTGCAACAAAAACGTTAAATGTTGATGGCTCGCTCCTGATCCATGACAATGCTACGGTCGAGTCACACCAACAATAGAATTGGCACGAGAATAATTCCATTTTCGCCAGATCGCTCATCAAGTGTGCCAAAAGTGCAGCGCCGCATAGCTCTAGCTTGGGAACCGTCAATGTCTTCAATGGAGCCAATCGAGACTTCGCAAACAGTAGCTGGGAGAAGGATTTGTTACGCGCCTTCGAAACTAGATACACGCAGGCCCCATAAGCATCGATACTGGCGTCAGAGAAACCATTAACTTCCAGTTGAGCCTCTGGTAGTAAAGCCAAACGTGGAAATGCTGCGCGCTGCATACTTCCAAGATGATCGCACATGCTGAGCCACTTTGAGTTTAACGATGATGGAAAGCTCTCGTCCCAGTCCAGTTTTTCTCTCCAAAGTTCCTGTAGAAAGATTTTGGCTTTAGTTATGACTGGACCAATAAGACCAAGGGGGTCGTAAAGGCGAGCTATTGTCGAGAGGACCGAGCGCTTATTTGACTTAGATGCCGATTGAGTAGGCGAAAACGAAAATAGAAAACTATCAGATGAGGGATCCCAAGCGAGGCCCAATGCCTTTTTGATATCGCTGCCATCGTTGAACTTTAAGAACGTTTCCTTCTCTTGATCGGGAATGTCTTTTAACACAGCAGGAGCATTAGAACACCATTTGCGAAGTGTAAAATGGCCTTTAGCTAACAAGCCAGATGTTTGACGCATTATTTCGCGAACCTCCGCCACAGAACTGCCACCAGTGATGAGGTCGTCAACATAAAAGTCGCGCTGCAACGTCTGTGAGCCAACTGGATATCATCAATGGCAAGCTGATGCATTGTACGAACCGATAAAAATGATGCAGGCTTCGTACCGTAAGTTACGGTATCCAGTTTGTATACTCGCACATCTTCCTTAGGGGAATCACGCCATAAAATGCACTGCATGTAGCTATCTGGCTCAGCGACGCGGACGCAGCGATACATCTTACAAATATCACCAGTTAGAGCTACTGGGAAAGTGCGAAATCTAAGCAGTGTGTTGAACAGGTTAGCTTGTATGGTGGGCCCAGCCATTAATATCTCATTTAGAGAATATCCAGATGATGTGGCGGCTGACCCATCGAAAACGACTCGAAGTTTGGTCGTTGTGCTGTCTTCTTTAAAAACACAATGATGCGGCAAGTAGTACTTGCAAAGGTGAAGAGAATCTGGGCTAACGAGCGACATATGGTTTAATTCCAGATATTCCTTGATGAAAGCTGCATACTGGACTTTCGTCTGCGGACGACGCTCCAATTTGCGATCCAAATTTAAAAAACGACAATGTGCCTGTAGATATGAGTCTCCCAAAAAATTCAGACTAAGTTTGATAGGCAAACGCACCGAATATTCGCCCGATTTAAGCCTTGAGAAGTTTCCCTTGTAATGCCTCTCGCAATCAAGCTCTTCCTTGGTACGCTTGGTTTGCGTAGTTGAATAATTCTCAACTTCCCAAAACTGACGAACAAGATTATCAATGCTGGCAATTATTTCTTCTTCTGTAGCTTGTGAAGAATACGAAGACAGCAATGTGGACGAATGTGGCTTCCTACAACTACCAGAAGCAACCCAGCCGAGGCGAGTCTTCTGCAAAACTGGTAGATCCGGGAACGTTTTAACTTGGCCAATGCAAAGCAATTCGAAAAAGATGCTTGCGCCAATTAATAAATCGATGCCCCACGATTTGAAGAAATCAGGTTCAGCCAATTGCAGATTTGAAGGTATGCGCCAAGTTGACGCATCGAACGAGAAGCTTGGCTGGTAATCAGTGATCTTAGATGCAACCAACGCAGTGATGTTTGCAGAATATCCCGAGACTCGTGACTGCATGTTAAGGTTGACTTCAAAGCCATCCGTAGCGAAACTGGAATCTCCAATTCCAGAGATATGTGTAATGGACCTTGACTTTCTCAAGTCTAGCTGATTTGCGAAACGAGATGTGACGATGTGCGACTGCGACCCGGAGTCGAGCAGTGCACGACATGGCACCAATGTGCCCGAACGATTTTTCACCATGACAATGGCTGTAGCTAGCAGCACTACATCGCTACCGAGATTCTGGGCTGCAAGAGAGACAGGATATGCGGACGACGCTGTGAGCAGAAGTGGATGGCATTGGCTCGGGCATGTGAGCAGTTGAGGCGGTAACCTGAGCATTTGATGCACTCGAGCCAGAATTTCCGATATGCAATAGGGTGTGATGCTTTAAACGACATTTACGGCAACTGGAAGCAGTGCACACTCGACACTGATGGCCTTTTCGTAAGCAATTAAGGCAAAGTGTAAGCCTTTTTGCTTCTTTAAGGCGCAACGCAGGGGACAAATTCCCAAACTGTGAGCAATTATAAATCATGTGACTTGCGTCGTCACAGAATACGCAACCAGGAGGATTGTTGTTAGTAGCAACAAACGATCTAATTGGCGTTAGTAATTTTGTTGATCTTTCCAACCTGTGAGCTAGGCGTTCGTGTTGCCATAGCATGCTCCACATTTTCCATGGTCTGACACCGCCGTTCAAGAAATTTGGAGAACTGCTCCCACGAAGGAATCGCGCCTTGTGATGTAGACTCTTCCCATCTACTTTGAGTTACGCTGTCTACGTTTTGAAGAGGCATATGCACGATTATGCAGCTGGATATGTCATCCGCGCTGCCCATCGTCCGTAGGGCACGCATATGTGCATTGAATTTATCCGAAAATGCCCGTAACTTGCCAACTTGTATCCACTCTCTTGAGCGCCATTATCTCTGCGATGTGTGCCTGAAAAATCAAACGCTTGTTATTAAATCGGTTTTCAAGTAACTCTAATGCAGACGAATACTTAGCGTCACAAATTTCCAATGAACGAATCGTATCCAATGCTGCGCCCCTTAGGCATGACCGCAGATGCTGAAGCTTCTCAATGTTTGACAAACTTGGCTCATTGTCGATGACTGAGGAAAACATTGAAAAGAAATCGCCCCACTCCGTATATGATCCACTAAAAGTAGGCAATTTCAGCTTGGGCAGCCGTACTCTAGTGGATGAAACAGCAAAAGGGTTCTGCTCGATCGTAGTTTCCGGCCGTAGAGTTGAACAGGTGGGCAACTGAGAGTTGCGTAGACGAATTTGAGATTTGATTCAAGTCTGCAAACTTGCCACTAATTCACAAAAGTCCTTTCGCAATTGACTGCCAATTTCATCGAAACACAATTCCTCCAGCTCATCATGCACTAAATTAAATGACGACCGCAATTCATCGAGAATATTGTGATAGGTAGCCAATTCGTCACAGCTCAAAATATTAATTTTATCACCGTCCACGGCACTATGCTTCTCTTGCACATGTTGATAAATTGACTCTACCTTGCGCTTGTAGAATTGCAATTTATTAGCAGCAGCCGGCGGCGTGGTAAAAGATTCCTCGTTTGCCATATTGCACAACACAAAAAATCACCCTGTATTGAGTGCCGAATACAAAGAACAAAGCAAGCGCAAGAAAGATAACTGTCTGTCGACTGCGCGCCAAAGTACAGGCGCGCGCGAAAAGTAACTGTCCGCGCTTATGTATATGCACACACGTATATATGCATGAGCGAATGCGTACATATATGTATGTATGCAAGTACCGAAATCAAAGCGCCGTAACGCGTCACCTTGTACAGTCTAGCAACCAAAACTAACTGTATGTATGTATATGCGGATGTATATAGGCGAGTGTGTAGCAGTGTAAGCATGTACATATGCAATCGCCTGACACGTTCACGAACACAACTATGTGCACTTTAAACACATTTGCACGATATTTTAATACTCTCTCCTAACCGACGATAGAGTATTGATCACGTCGGGGTCACCAGAAATGTTGACCTACAGAGCTTTTTCTGCAGGTATTTAGTTCCTTCGAAAATAATAACACGAAATGTTCAAAATTCAAATGCGGTTGCAGGCGCGTTTATTAAATGTTTTATATTGTGTGCGATGCAAGCGGCCCTTCGATGGCCGTGCGCTCGAGCCAGACACAATATACATATACGAAAACGAAAAGGGTATTGCCACGCGCTGCCGAGTTCGATACTGTTCAAAGAAATAGGTGAAGTAGCAACGACAGCTGACTTCCAAAACGACGAAATAGCAACTTGCTTCTTTGAAGACGAAATATCAACTGACTGTGCACAAACTGCAGCAGCATAATTAAATCTGTGCAGAAGGCAAATGAGCAAAAGAAAGAACAACGAAAGTAGCTGAGTGCGTACAAACAAACAAGTGTGGTGTGATAACTACGTTAAGAAACACTCATGCTGCGCAGAGCAATGCTACTCAAACTTTAAGTTACAATTTTATGATTTATGATGCGTTGACTGCTGGACCAAACATACATAATATAATATAATATAATAATTATTTTACTTAGAACTCCCACGAAGAAAGCCACTTAAGGCTGTGCATAGTCGAGTTAGGTTCATTAGCAAAGGGTCCATTCATTCCATAAGCCAAGGGTGAAAATAATAAAAAACTGTAGATGACCATGGATAAAAAAATACCGAACAAAACGTGTTGCATCCACCTTTCTAATTGTTTTATCATATAATTGAACATTACTCCTGCAAAAATATTGAAAAAGCGCATTAGTACTTATGTTATTAACTCTTATTTACGGTGCAGTAATAGGTATATGTATCATTATGACGAGAGAAATCTATACAGCCAATTTCGACTGTCCGTCCATCTGTCTGATTGAACGCATGGATAAATAGCAAAATTAGTATGGAGACTCCCCTTATCCCCAGACAACACGACTTATTATTATGCGAGGTTTTGTGTGAGTATTTATAGCCTGTACCAAAAGGGTAAAAGACTATATTAACTTTGTTCGAATGTATGTAACACGCAGAAGGAGGCGTGGCAGACCCATCAGTATATATATTATTGACAAGGATGACAAGACGAGTCGATATAGCCCGTCCGTCTGTCTGTATGAACGCAATGATGTCAGAAAGTATAAGAGCTACTACAACCCAACTTGGTATCGATATCCTCCTACGTCCGAGTTTGTTTCCCGATGCACCCCCACTCCCCCGCAATTCTTCTTTTTTCCATTACTCCCGTAATACTTGGAATTTCGAACTCAAATTTGGTAGTCACATCCAGTTAGTGATTGTGATGATTATTATAGACCGATTTAACAGGAAGTTATAGCCATAAATATAATTTCTGCCAAATGAAAACATTTGGGCTTACGAAAGGTGCACGGTTTGTTCCGCACAAATAGACTGACGACCAAAAATTGCTCAGAATCCAACATTCAAAGCACATCATTAAAGAGGTCAAAAAGGACAAAAACTTCCTTTACAATAGTGTGACTGGTGACGAAACGTGGTGTTTCCAATATGATCCCAGAGTTTTGAAGCGGTTGGTGCGCCGTATTCGACGTGTTCGGCCCGAATATCGCGAAGCTGAAAGTTGGCATTTGTTGTACGATAATCCGCCGTCTCATCGATCGACGCTTGTGACCGATTATTTGACCAAAAATCACATTTTAACCATTAACCACTCGCCGTATTCACCTGATATGGCACCGTGCGACTTCTACCTTTTCGGAAAAATGCATTTTCCCATGAAAGGAAAGCGTTATGAAGACGTAGAGGCCATTCAAAAGGCTTGCACCGGCATACTGGCGGCCATACCGTCCAATGAGCTAAAACACTCGTTCGACATGCTTTTGGATCGTGCAAAAAGCTGTATTGAAGCAGGAGACTATTTTGAATAAAATAAATTGATTTTGCCGAAAAAACCATTTGTTCTGTTTTTTTTCAAAAGTCCTGTTTACTTTGGAACACACCTTGTATGATAGACCGATTTAACAAGAAGTTATAGCCATAAATATATTTGCTGCCCGCAGCTGTTGTTGATGTTGGTGCTTTTGTTGACTGCAAACATGCTTACACAGACACGAATAGACGCGCATAAACATACATACACTCACATAGACGCAATTGCTATGTAAATGTGCAATTATACACCCTTTACGTGAGTTCGAATACCAAGAGGGTAAAAGGCTATATTAGTTTTGTGCGAATGTATGTATCACACAGAAGAAGGCGTGGCAGACCCCACAAAGTATATATATTATTGATCAGGATGACAAGACAAGTCGATATAGCTATGTCCGTCTGTCCGTCCATCCGTCTGTCTGTATGAGCGCAACGATCTCAGCAAGTACAATAGCTAGGATAACCAAACTTTGCATTCAGGTTCCCCTAAGCCCCAGGCAGATCGAGTTTGTGTTTTTTTCTTTCTGATACACCCCCCAACTCCCCCGCAATTCGTGTTTTTCCTAACTCCGGTAATTCTTGGAATTTTGAAATCAAATTTGGCATATACATCCAGTTCGTGGTTATTTATCCGTAATGCAAGTGTCATCATGATAGGTCAATTATGAAGAAAGTTATAATCATAAATACAATCGCTGCCCATGCTCAGCTTGCAGCGCTGCCCGCAGCTGTTGTTGTTGTTGCTGCTTTGGTTCAACTTTGTGCTGCATATATTTTATTTTATTCAAAATATCAACAATACTACTGTCGTTTATATTATAAAACTTAATATAACAAATTAAACTAAACAAAATAAAAGATAAGAAAGCCTAACACAAAGCTGTACAATGACCTCTATTAATGCCTCCGACACGTTGGGGGAATTTTATTTGCCAATTGGCCAGCTATGCCCCGATTCACAGCCATATGCGGTCAGAGACATTAAAGACCTAAAAAACTATGCAAAAAGTAGATAAAGGTGAAAAATTAATTCTATTTAACAACTAATTAGAAAAAGTACGAAGTAGAACGAGAAAGAGAAAAAGAAAGAAGAAAGGAGAGACAGAGAAACAGAAAAAGGGAAAGGTAGAAAGAGAGACGAAAAGAAAAAGAGGGAAATCTCCAACCCGGTGGGGGAAATTTTAAATGCCAGTCTGGCAAGCTATGCCCCAACTCACAGCAGTAAGTGGTCAGAGATTTCCCCGAAGATAATTATAAAGAATAGATTTGATAGAACAGAGAGAGAGCCCTGTCGAAAGTAAATGTGAAAGATCATTATAATGTCTGCACATGACCCGAAAACGATTGTGCAAAGCGTAATCGGTTGTGCATCTGGCCAATATAAGCGGCAAATAATTCCTTGTTGGTCTATAAGGAACTGAAAAATTAAGGCGACCTAAGAGGGAAGAGGAGTCAACCTCACCAATAACCAATTTGTGGAGAAAAACTACTCCAAGAACAGTCCTACGATGTACTAAGGAAGGAAGGTTTATAAGCATCAGTCTACTAGAGTACGATGACAAGCAGAGATTGGGATCCCAGCTTAAACCACGTAAAGCAAAGAGAAGGAATTGCTTCTGAACAGACTCAATACTTTCCTGATGCTTTCTATACTGCGGAGACCAAACGCATGAGCAGTATTCAAGCACAGGGCGTACTAGAGCAGTGTAAAGAAGCTTAGTGGTATAAGGGTCATTAAATTCCTTGGACCAACGTTTAATGAATCCAAGTAATCCCTTGGCCTTATTGACAATACTAGATATGTGAAGGTTAAAGTTCAATTTGGAATCAAAAATAACCCCAAGGTCTTGAACAGTCGATATACGTTGCAATGGCACATTGTCAATCGTATACGTCCCTAAATAAGGCAAGGTTCGGTGAAATGTCATGAACTTACATTTAGAGCAATTGAGGTACAAGTGGTTAGCTAAGCACCAAGATTGCATGCAGTTCAGATCATCCTGCAGGCGATGAAAATGAGAAGGGTCTTTGTAGGTCAGAATTAGTTTCGCATCATCAGCATACATAAGAATATGAGAGTGTGACAAGGTAGCGGGGAGGTCATTAATAAATAATGTAAAAAGTAAGGGGCCAAGATGGCTACCTTGAGGCACACCTGATGATGCAAACACAGGCTTAGAAATGTGCGACCTAAGCAAGATCCGTTGGGATCTGTCTTTTAGATAAGACGAAATCCAACACCGAAAAGCGGAGGGAAATCCTATACGACTTAGCTTAAAGAGCAGAAGATCATGGTTCACAGAGTCAAATGCTTTACTGAAGTCAGTGTAAACGACATCAGTCTGCATTTTTAGAGTAAATGCTTCATTTACCAAAGAAGTAAATTCCAGCAAATTGGTCTCTTTATGAAACCATGTTGACCATGTGCTGCAAAGTGCTGCAAACTATTTTTCCAAAAAATTTCGGTATGGCAGACAACTTTGCAATTCCTCTTTAGTTTGAAATATCCGACTTACCACCCTTTTTATGAAGAGGAATAATAAAAGATTCTCTCCAAATAGTTGGAAAGATTGAGGAACCAAGTGACAGATTAAAGATTTTAAGTAATGGCTGTAATAGGGAACTAGAACACTCCTTGAGAACACAACTAGGAATGTTGTCTGCTCCAGGAGAGTATGAAGATTTTAAAGATTTGATAGCAGAAAGTAGACAGTTATCAGTAATTATGGGAGCGTAAATAGTGTAGGAAGATGATATGCTATAAAGATAGGAGGAACTACTAATAGAGACAGAGGAATAAGTTGACTGGAAGAAGTTGGCAAACAAGTCAGCAGCTTCAGAATCATTGCTGGCTTTTTTGTCACCAAGGAAAAATGATGAAGGTAGAGAAGCAGTTTTACGTTTAGACTTAACGAACTTATAGAATTGTTTAGGGTCCTGTGCAAATTGCATCTTGCATCGGGCAAGGTAATTATTGTAACATAGTGAATTAAGAAGAACAAAATTCGATTTCGCTAAAGAGTATTTATAGAAGTCAATAGATAGGCCCGACTGCTTATACTTTTTAAAGCATCTAGATTTAACATTTTTTAAGTTTGAAAGTCTTGGTGAAAACCAAGGAGGTTTTGATGACGCAGACGATATGACACTATTTGGGATACAGACATCAAAAAGAGCATTAACAGTGTCATAGAAAAACTTGACGGCTATGTTGATATCAACCGTACTATACAAAAAGGACCAATTAGTTGCTAAAATAAGTTCGTTAAGCAAAGAAAAATTTCCTTTGCGAAAGCAACGACGTGTTTTATTACAATAAAGTGTAGGAATAAAGGTGTGATTTGAAAATGATAGGGAGATTTGTAAAGTAGGGTGGTAAGTATCTTCAGGCACTGACAGGGGTAAAGACCTAGAGACTACTGCGCTACTAGGGTCAGTGACATAGACGCGATCAAGCATTTTGCTGAGGTGATTAGGTATAGAATTAATTTGAAACAAAGAAAGGTCCAACAGGCAATCCAAAAATTCATGTTCTGTTGAGGGCACCAAATACTTGGACTCATTGAAAAATGACCATTCTATGTTAGGTAAATTAAAATCACCTAACACAATAAACGCATCTTTGTCACGGAGATGAGTGGAAATTGCTTTAATACAAGTTATATGTTGCATATAAACTTGAATATTGGAAGAGGGAGGTATATACGAGCATGTGATGTAAAGAGCAAAAGACGGAAAAGTTACTTTAACAGCAACAAATTCAACATCATTTGGCACATCACCATCAATGATTTCCGACCGAAGGTTGTATTTGACTGCAAACAGTACCC